TTCTAGCTTTGACCGGGCTTGAAAAGACCAAAAGAGCATTGGAAGCAGTGCCCCTCCCAGATTAAATAAATTATGCAGATGTACAGAGGTGCTTTGTGAAGCAGTTTATTCTGATGAGTAGCGCTGGTGTCCTTCGTGTCAACATCGAGCTCTGTGACCTTGGACAACTCCTGTCCCTTCTTGGAGCTTGGGTTTCTTCCTCTGCAAAACCAGGGGGTTCGACTAAGGTTGTCAAAGTTTTGCCGCCTTCCTCCGCTTGCGTTTCTACCTCAGTCCCTCCCTTAGCCTCTTAACTACCCTCCACTGAGATCCCATGTCCCTGCCCCGCAGGCTCCCTCCGTGGCCAGTCACTTAACGAGCTGTCCTTCCACGTGTTTTGTCGTCGTTGTCCTTCTGCACTTCAATCTCCCTCTCACCATCGACCTGCTCTATCTTTCTGTATTAATCCCCAAAGCTAAGTCACTCTCACACCCACCTTCTCTGCCAAGACTTGTGTCATTGGTGGAATTCACGAAACCATGCTGCCTGGATCTCTTATAAACTCTTACCAACCCAGCTGAACCGTATCCAACCTCACTGCTGCCTGACACCCTCTCACTGCTTCTCTATCATCCTGTTTTCATCACCGTTCGTCCAGCTCACTCCCTACCTCTTCCTCTCCTGCTCTGCAGATGACCTCACCTCCTTCCTGTTTACCTAAAGGGAAGACCAGCCTGTTTGCCACTTGCTCATACCCTCCGAGAGTCTCTTCTTCCTGCACATCTGAAAAGAGGCCCCTTTCCTTGATAAAACAAACCCCCTTGTCTGCTGTGTCTACCATTTTCTGAACTTTTCTACAAGATATTTGTGGAGCGTGTGTGTGCATTTTAAGTGAAGGGTTACACTAAGATTTCCCCATTCTGTTACTCTTCTGTATTTCCAGCTCCTCACTAGCTCACCCCTTTCTGCCTACAAACATGTTTGGATCTCTGTAATCCTAAAGAAAAAGTTCTCGACTCTGCTCTCTACCCCCCACTCCACCCCCAGTTCTCTCTTTCTCCCCTTGTGATCTCGCTCTTATCATTGACTTTTGAAGCTCACACACGCCCTCCCGGCCACCAAAGACCGGTCATGTCTCCGTTCTTGTCATCCTCACCGCTCTGAAACAGCTAATGCCGGCAACCTGCCCTAAAAACCACCTCCTTCCTTTAACCGCTGTTTGGCTGGGCTGCCCTGGCCCCCTCTCTGCTTCTTAGGGTGGCGTCACCACACCCTGACCTTGGCTCCCACTCCCAGGCTTCATCTCCTTTTTTTTTTTTTTTTTTTTTGCAGCACGCGGGCCTCTCACTGTTGTGGCCTCTTCCGTTGCGGAGCACAGGCTCCAGATACGCAGGCCCAGCAGCCATGGCTCACGGGCCTAGCCGCTCCGCGGCGTGTGGGGTCTTCCCGGACCGGGGCACGAACCTGTGTCGCCTGCATCGGCAGGCGGACTCTCAACCACTGCGCCACCAGGGAAGCCCTCATCTCCTTTTGTCAGTGACTCCTACACCTGGTCTTCACCATTACCTGCCGGCCCCTCCTGACTGCTTAGCACCAGACGGGCTCTCACCACGGTCCCAACCACACATCCACAGGCCCACCAGTCCCTCATGCTCCGTATCTCCAAAACCAAACTGCTGCTCGCTTTGTTCCTTCACTTACATTTAACTGAAACCTGAAATTCCGTTGTTAGCCTTAACGCATTTCTTCTCATGAGGTACTTTTCTTCTTTCTCTTTGATTCTTGAGCAGTGTTTCAGGATGATGAAATTAATGGGAATGAGTGAGGAAGTAAGAAGCTAGGGCAAGGAGGACATGGGAAGCCATGCATCAAGGAATAGGCAGTGTCCTCGTTGAGGGCTCAAGCTCCGGTCCTGGGGTTTAAATCCTGACTCCACCACTTACTAGCTGTGTGACCTAGGGGAAGTCACTTGACCTCTCTGTGCCTTAATTACCCCACCTATAAAACAGAGCTAATAGAACTACCAAACTCATATTGCTTTCATGAGGAATAAATGAGTTGATGCACGTGAAAAACTATGTCAGGCACATAGCATTATTATCACTATTACTACTATTACCCGACGTAGCATCCCCAAGGAGACAGGCTGAGTGTCCAGATTTCCTACTTTCCTCCTAATTTATTCCTTCCTCCTCTGCTCACAGGATAATACCCCTGTCCAGGACACTAAAATGTGAAGAAGATCTCATTGTGCCTAGTGATGAAGCTGCTGGAGCCGTGTCCTTGAAGTAGCAGCAATGATTGTAGCGGCAGCAAAGGAAGCCATCGCAGAAGCAGGATGGGCTGAGGGTCTGGAGTCAGCCTGAGGACACAGGGTGCCATTTCCCGACCTCCGCACCATTGTAGACAGAGATTGGATCTGAGGGCAGCAGACTTTTATCAACTTGATAAAAGTTGTGTCACTTGATGGACTTGGTTTAAAAAAAAAAAAAACTTATTTAAAACAATTTACTATGGTGACAACTCCCCAGGGATACTGGTCAAACTGTGGGGCCCATATACTGTCCACACCCACCTAACCCTATAGCTGACCTCAGAACTGGACTGGGATCTACCTAATCAGATTGTGTTTGTGTAAGGTGACAGCCTTTTTATTGTTCTTAAGTTTTCATGATTCTCAAGTGTAAGTAAAAACTCATTTCAAGTAGCTAGAAACAAAGTAGTATCACTGGAAATATAAATCCTGTAAGTTACAGAAGACCTTAAATTGTATGGAGACCCTGAGACAACCTTTCAGCTTGGTCCAGATTTGACTGGCCAACCAATTTTGAAAACATTGGCCGAGAAGAGATAATTATTGAAACATTGAAAAATATGTGTCTGTTCCAGCAACAGGAGCTTCTCCATCAGGTAATTCTCTAGCTGGTGATACACTGGGAGGCGACCAGCTCGGCTCACCTGCTTCTGCCAGAGGGAGAGCAGGCAGAGGCAGGATGTCTCTGTGCTGCATTTCCTCATCCTGTAAGCAGAGCAGTGACACCTGGACAATGCCTGCCCTCTGGTTAGGATGAAGTTTGTGCTTCCAGAGGGGGAGCCTCGAGCACAGATTAGATATCTCCTGGGAAGTGCTTTGAGCATCGTGATGTGCAAGCTACATAATGAGAACATCCTTCCTGGCTTCCCTGACTTGAATGGAAACCCAGGCTCCCCTCCCCGACTCAGGAGGGGTGGGGCGGGTCTTCTGTCTGTTCCTCCTGGGTAGCTCTTGCTTCATCGGTCTGTTCAGAGAGTGCATGAGGCTTCGCCGGGGACAGGGGGCCTGATACGCCTTCCTTGACATATCCTCTCCCCTCTTCCCACACTCCTGCTGAAAGATGCTCGTCCAAATAAATGTTTAATCTTAAGGGTTGGCCCTTATTCAGATTTGAGTATTTCAGTATCTCAACATGCTGACTTGGTAGCTGGAGCAGTCATTTTTCTGGAGGTCTCTTAGACCACACTCTACTCTGACCACAGAAAGTAGTTTCCCAGACTTAAAAGGCCTTATCTCACTGCTGGTACCTCAGTTTATCACCCCATTTACAGTTTTTCTAAATTTACAGTTTTTCTAACTCCAGGATAGTGTTAATATTTGGGATATATATTTTTTCAAAAACTATTTTTAAATCAAATGCAACTTCTAAACCTTGTAATCTAGTGAAGACTGATACCATAATAAGCTTTGTATTTTAGCAGAGTTTGGGAGATATGTGTGTCAGTTATTTTGAGATCTGTATAATATCTATCATCTATCTAACCTATCATCTATCTGTCATTGACAGAGAAGTATACCCCCTAAACAATACATGGATTTATTTATATATGTCTTTGGGCTGTTTATATATTCGTGCACATATCTGGGCAAGAGTTTTGAGAACGTGAGCATGACTGTGCAATGAAAAGGGGAAATCTGCCACTTCTCTTACTAGAAAAAGGAACGGGACAGATGGGATGTAGATGTAAAAATAAAACTCTATTTTTCTTCTGGAGGGTCCGTACCTTACAGTAGCAGATGAAGAAGGAGCAATAAAAAATAAGAATGTGACACTGAAGGAGCATGTATGACGGTGTCCAAAAATCTCCCCAGTTCCCTATTAGTCACATTATTTGATCTATTTTGTGAGAAAACAAAGGCCCCACCACAGGCATTGTTATTAGTGATGGGGTTCTTGGCGGGGAATTCGTGAAGCAAAGGCAGGACCTGTTCCCTGTGGGCGCTGCAACCTGGCAACTTGTTTAATGCTCTCCTTTCTCGAAGTGACCATGATTCAGTGTTGCAACACCATGGTTGAGACTGGGATTTCATACTGTGGATTGAAGAAAACCATTTGTGTCTTAGGTGGCACAGAGTCATCACCAGGCCAGGAAGACTTTCATCAGGATTCCTTAATAGGCTTGAAGGAAAACACTGATTCTTCACAGCTACAAGGCTGAAGAGAAGAATCAGAATCATTCTTCCACTACCTTTGTAATCTAGCTTGAATATTAAACTGTGTCCTTCCTTTCTCCAGAGAGGGAGCAGGAAGAAAACTTGAATGCTTTGAAGGAATATGCCAATATTGAAAAGGGGGCTGCATGTGGAACTGGGTAACCAGATATGACCATGAAGAAGAGCTCAGGGGCCTCAGAACTCCACTCTCCCCACTGAGGTCACCCTCAACAGGACCCTGTTTGCCAGACCAGTTTTGGCCTGTGACCAGCTGACTAGTCACTCCATAAAATGTCAGATAAGGGAATAAAGGAGTGGACAGACAACAAGTTCATCATCTTCTTTTGATTCGGTACTCTTGGGAATGTAAAACTTTAATACAGTTGAATGAATGAGGACCTTCAGTTGCTAATGAAAGGAACCCAACTCAAACAGGCTGATACAAAACAGCTATATCTATGAATCTCCCTCTCTCTCTCTCTTTCTCTGTCTGTCCGTCTCTCCCTCCCTCCTTCTATACACTGAATAATATGTTTTGACAATCCATGGACAGACCTGAATACAATCACTTAAGCAATGTCAGAAATCTTTCTCTGTTATTGGTCTCTGCTTTCCTCTGTGTTGGCCATATTCTCAGGCAGCCTCTTCCCAGCCTGCAAACCCAATGGAAAGAGCTTATTTTTTCCCAGTAACTGTGGGAAAAAATCCTACAAAGGTTTTCTATAGGCTTGGTGGGGATCCTATATCTATACCTGAGCCAATTATTATGACCAAGGAGATGCAGAGATCAGATTGGCCAGCCCTCTGCCACTCTCCTGCAGTGAGGGGCTAGGTGAGTTAATTCTATTTCATCTGCAAGGACTGTGAATGGAGCAACAAGGTGCCTCAAGGTAAAATCAGAGTGCTGTTACTAAAAGATATGATGCTGGGTGGGAGAAACAACAACAACAATAGAGCTCTGAGCAAAATTCGAGTGCTACTCAGATAAAACGGAATTTGTTTTCATAAGCCACTAAAGAAAAATCAGTCTCATTTTAAATGTAATAATGTATCACTGTGTCCAGAGCCAGCCTGGAGCTCCATGAGGGTCAAGTCTGTCTGTGTAGTTCATTGTGCCGGTGCCTCATGTATTATAGGTGCTCAATAAACATTTGGTAAGTAATGGATGATTAAACTGATTTCAGAGCTGGAATAGGATTATTTTCAACACTTGTCGCTGCCCAAAAACTCCCTCACTGATACCAGATGCCTGAAATGTTAGCAACTGATTCCACTGGCTCTAGTCTTCTTCCCAATCAAAACGTGTATCCTGAGAGAGGTAATATTTTAGGCCTCCTTTGTCATCACATCTTTTTTTTTTTCCCATGGTCTGTTGTCTCCTTGAGGTAAGTTAGAGGAATGATGGGCTGCTTCTTAAGGGGAGGTACTTAAAAGGAGGTCATTATTCTTGGCTGCTTTGTGTGTTCGTTGCTGCACACGGGCTTTCTCTAGTTGCGACGAGCAGGGGCTACTCCTTGTTGTGGTGCGCGGGCTTCTCATTGTGGTGGCTTCTCTTGGTGTGGAGCACGGGCTCTAGGCACACGGGCTTCAGTAGTTGTGGCTCTCACGCTCTAGAGCGCAGGCTCAGTAGTTGTGGCGCACGGGCTTAGTTGCTCCACGGCATGTGGGATCTTCCCGGACCAGGGCTCAAACCCGTGTCCCCTGCATTGGCAAGCGAATTCTTCATCACTGCACCACCAGAGAAGTTCGGTCGTCACATCTTGAGTTGAGTTGGTTCTAGAAAGCCTTCCCAGAAGGGGTTAAAAAGAAGAGCAAAGTATGTGAAACTCTAGGGGCAATTGACACACTTTCCTGACGTCCCCGTCTTGCTTAGGGTAAGTCAGCTTCCTATTTAGCCCAGTGATGTCCTGACCAGAGTGGCTATGGGGGCTGAGAAAACCGTTACTCCAGTTCTGCCCTCAAATTCGAGGAGAGCTGTGGGAGAGGCCCCACTGTGGTCAAATGGGGCAGGAAACTGTGGTTCTTTGATCCTCTGCAGAGGAAGAGGAGGTGAAAGTGTTAAATGCCTCACAGCACAAAGGGAGCCACCCACTTCAAAAACAGGAGCAAAGGGATTTCTTCTCCTCCTCCTCCTGGAAAGTTCTGGGCTCTCCATGGGACCTGCAACGCCTAGGCACAGCCAGGGAGATGCTATGAAGGAAACAGGATGTAAAAGGAAGAGGTTGAAACAGGCTAGGATTCCCCACTGCACACTCCTGTCGGTAACGACCCTGAGACCCTGACCCTTGATGGTGTAGTTTTAAATGAAAATGTGAAAAAAATGACTTAGGCAAACCTGTAATGCCAGTTATTACATTTATCAACTGCTTCTGTTTTAAATCATGAGTGGACTGAATTGCACTTTAACCAAAATTCAGAAGCAAGATTCTAGAATGATTATATGGTTGGTACTCAAAGGATGGTATTACCAAGAGGCAGATATTCCTTCTGCTCCAAGAAAATAATAGGACCTCAAACACTAGTCGCTACTGTTGGATTGTCTAAGGAACCCATGGGTGCTGGGTGGTGCCAGGCACTCACCATCACGGCCGAACCTGGCCCCTCAGGAGCAACAGTAGCGGCTTCTTGACGACCTCTGGAAGCAGCTGGGATGGGAAAGGGCAAAAGGGCCTGCTCTGCATCCCCTCTAATTCTGTGCCTCTTTTCATTCTACCAAGCAAAAGGAAACACGTAGTTTTAGGAGCCCTGTTTTCTCTGTGATTTAAAAATATTAATTATCTTTATTTTTTCTCATTATAAAAGCAATACACCTTTATTTTTTTTCACCTTTATTTTTAAACATTTGTGGAGAAAAAAAATTTTAAGTAAATAAAAATTATTCATAATCCCACTACTAAGAGATAGCTAGTGTTAATATTTTATGGCTTTTCCTCTAGTTTTTTTAATGCGTGTATTACATGTTTTGTTCTTAATTCGTTGTTGTTCCAAAACTGGGATCTCACTGTATGCAACTGTGTATTCTTCTCTTCTGTAACATACCATCATGAGCACGTCTTCCGAAACAATCACAATTTTGATCATGAAAACTGTACACTTTTGTCTTCTATTCAACCAATAACATCCAGAGTAAGACCAAATGTGTATAAAAGAGGGGTAATAATATACCCTGGTGGAAACGAAGGTGTTGTGGAAAGCAGTTCTTTTCACAGTCTAGATCTTAGATTCCTATCACATTTATGGCCTCATGCACTCTCAAAACAAGTGAAAACATTTGAATGAAAAATGAAAGGGCTGAGGCAACTCCAAAATATCATTCCTAATCATTTAGGGATTGCAAAATTCAGAGGGAGGCATGAGATAAGTTTCTGAAAAAGGATCACCGGAGGGAAAGCACAAAGAAATGTTTGTAGTAAAAACTAGCTGAAGCTATTATAGGCTATTGGACTGGAGTCTGGAAAAGGCACAAATGTTCAATCTGATCCTGCTTTCTGTGTGGGTCAGGACATGGCTTGCAGTGAACGAAGCAAACCTACCAGCATGACAACGGCGGTGGCCTGCGAGCCAGTTAGCGCTTAACTGCACGGGCAGAAAATAAGACGCAGCACACTGTCCTGAGGCCAGTCCTGTGGGGCAAGTTAGCCAGAGGTTTCCTTTGAATGGCAGACCCACACAATTAAATTGTATTCTCACTTCCAAGGGCTGACCATTCCAAGTCAGAGCCAAGTCTGTACCACTTAAGCCCAAACTGTGTCAGAATTCAGTGGCAAGCAAACATTAGTGACAAAATAGACACAAATCCCTCACCATAAGTGTTTGTAAAAGCCATTCACAATTTCAAGGCATCAACCATGACATCATCTTAGAGTTATTCTAATCATCTACTAATGGACCTCTTATTCTCATTTCATCTTCGCCCTCACATGCAGCTGAACCCAAGTCAAAATTGTTATGTTCAATAGTACTTTTAACATACCACCATTCTCAAAGGTTTTAATGCCACCAAATCCCTTAAATCAAATCAAAAGATTTAATCATGGCTTTTAAAGTTCTCTGGAAGCCCCTGGTCCTCTTCTTCCACATCAGTTTTCATCTTACTTGCTAACCGGCTAAGCCCAGCTCATTGGCATGGAATTACATGGAGAGCCACAAAAGCGGTTATCCCAGCTCTGGGAGTAAATCCTAAGGAAATCACGTAATACGTGGGGAAAGTATATACACAAATGGGCCAAACAATATTTATATCAGTGAAATGTTGGACACCAATGATTTATTATACAGTAGAAGAATTATTAAGAAAATTATGCTATCAGAATTCCCTGGCAGTCCAGTGGTTAGGACTCTGTGTTTCCACTGCAGGGGGCACTGGTTTCGATCCCTGGTCTGGGGGAACTAAGATCCTGCAAGACATGTGGTGCGACCAAAAAAAAAAGGAGAAGAAAAGAAAGAAAAAAGAAAAGTATGCTATATGCTATATTGTCTTGATGGAATAGTATAAAATTATTACAAACAACTTAAAGGGATGGGAAAACAGGCATGGGGAAATTGAATAACAACAAAAACCTTGAGAGTGGCCACGGGCAAAGGTAGGAAAGGTCTCCAGTCTTGCCATCTTTCATGGCACCTTGGTGAGTGAGTGAGATACAGCTCAGGCAGGGCAGAGGGAGCCCTCGAAAAGGCACAGTCTGAAAGGGGAGGGCAAAACCTAGATTGCTCAGGACTCCGCCTGAGAACTCCTTCCTCACCCTCCCGGACCCATTCTCAGACTACAAAAGAGTGGATTAAAAGTAAAATCGGGGCTTTCCTGGTGGCGCAGTGGTTGCGAGTCCGCCTGCTGATTCGGGGGACACGGGTTGGAGGCCCGGTTGCGGAGCAACTA